AGATAATACATGGCTTTTGCAGGTGCCAGAACTGAGTATATCTGCCCACAAATGTGGTACTGCCATAGGAGTACCACTAGGCTTTCTTGTACATGTCCTGATGCAGGGTGTCGCACATGCTTTTGCATATTGCCTAGGGCAATCCATCAATCAGTGAATCAATCAATTTTCTTGCAAGTTACTCTTTCACCGCTATGTCAAGTTAAAAAACGAGGCATAGAAGTTATGGAGAAGCACGAGATAAATTAAGTTTCAGACTTCGAGGTGCTTGCCGCCCATGCTATAAAACTTTACTGCAATTCCTCTTCGTAATGTGTGGCCTAACAGAATGATAAAGAAGATAGTTGACTGTTATCTTGCCACTGTCTTGCCACTCCAGAAGTTACTGTTGATTCTGGTGGTCTGCACGGGCCAGTGTAAAGATGGAGATTACATTTACCTACTATGGCACGCTTGTGCCGGTCTCTGTAGGGTTTAGATAAGACGATAATGTTTCACTGAGGAAGTTCTGTCAACTATTCGAGAACTTTGAGCCGTTAAATGGGTCATCTCTGCTCACTGATGATACAAGCTGTTGTTCCTGCATAAATTTTCTCTTGTGCAGTTGAGTGAAGTGGTCATGAGACTTATACGTTTGTGAAAATACAATAACTTGAACATGGCCTTGTAATCATATGAGCATTAATCGTTCAAAGCATATTGAATTGTAGAAATTGTAATCGTATGAGCATTAATCGTTCAAAGCATATTGAATTGTAGAAAATTAATGAGACCCAAGAAAACTGGACCAAGTCCTCTGCTACCATTGGTTTCAGCTTTTTTCCTTTCTCTTGCATATAATCACGTATAGAAGTTTTTTATCAACCAATATATGGATTGATTGGTTGACTAGAAGATTTTTCTTTCTACTCCATGTGCACGTTGATGGTTGGAGTGCAGAAGCACAATGTCCTTCACAAACGAAGGAAAGAAACTTGGTTTGGGTGGCTTGTGTCTCGTCCTGTGCTGGTTGCTCCCGGGAGGCGGTGCATACTTGTCGGGAACAGTTATCTTTGTGGCTATCGGTTATCTCGCAATCATGTTTTGGTCCGCCTAGTGTTGGCACAGTGATGCAGGCAGGTAACAGCAACAGTTTTGGTAACAACTGTGTCGCTGCATTCGTGACAAAAGCGCACAGTCTCTATGCCAACTTAGCTGCCTCAACAGACAACAAGCTACTGCCTGGCATTTGTGTGGGAAGGTGAACTTGTATTGGCCTTCATTCACTGTTCAAGTGCTTAGAGGAATCTGTTTGGTTGAACAACAATAAAGGCACAAACCAAGGAGTGCCTATAAGAGCTACATATCAGGCTGTTTGTGAGACGCATGCTTGAAATCGAAACTGTGCACGCATATATACCGTAAAGATTGACCACGGACAACGCATATCATTTAGTCGCACATCAGTTTTGGCAGAATGCTATATGGTTTCTCTTTACTCTATTGTTTGGCTCGCGTGTTCTCGGGAGCCCCGACGACCGATCGGCAGCGTTTTCTGACCATGCTCAAAAAAGAGTTGCAGGGCACCTTTAATCTCTGTAGCTAACGCTGGTTTTGGTGTAATGTTATATGTATGTATTTTAGCCGCTTGTACAGATGCTACCGAACGTGTAAATGTAAGTGCAATTCAATTTCACTTTGCTTGCATTTCTATAGTTCATTATAACTCTGCTTGTATTTAGGAGCATATTGTAGCTTCTGGCCTATACAATTTAAAAAAGAACAAAAAACACAGGTCTGCAATACATATATGTATTAACACACACACTACATATACGTACACTACTCATGTATACATTACACATGTTTATGCCTACTTAGGTACAGTACATGAAGTTGTGTGTTCAAAATGCGCACTTTAGCTAAGCGTGCATCATGGTCAGGTTACGTTCACAGTTTGATGACTTTGCGGTTTGGACCATAAACTATTTATTTGTAATGAGTTTGCAAACTTGATAAAGTCAATTGCTATTGTAGGCTTGTTTTGCAACCTTGCCTGAATTTCTTTTAAATATTATCCTGATCAGTTTTAAATTTACTCCCCACTTGAGCACTCCATGCCCGAGTAACTCTCGAGTCAATTGGCCTTGAGTGACAGTCAGTTGAAAAGTGAGATGGATGGGTTGCTTATACGGCCCTGTCTTTACTTTTTCTGGCCCTCTGAGTCGTGAGCCCTTATCAAGTAAATCATACTGTTTCTCTGTGGCAGCTATATGGAAATTGATGGGCCATCTGCGCATTAGCGGTGAGCCCATTGAATCGGTAGTGCCCACCCTTCCACGTCCTTGGCATTGTCTCTTTATGGGCCCAGAAAGGAAGCATCGTCCATAGCGACAATTGATGTGAATAATGAAACTCAAAGCATCTTTCCTGACACAATGGCTCTGTTGAATGGTCCTGGTTGCCTTTGAGCCGTGTGGGCATTTTATTGGGGGCAGAGGGCTTGTTTCCTTTGGCTGTGTTGGAAGCTATGGGTTTGATTCCCGACAGTTGTAGCTGATTTCTTACGAGGAGACGGGATCGAAATATACTAATGTGCATTTGACTTAAACGCATGGTGTGAAACTCCAGCAGTATTGAAATCATCTGCGAGCCATGCTATTATGGCATACGGGCATATCATATATTCTGTGCACCTCTTTGGTATGTTGACATTTCTGATCTTAAATTTTGTGCTAATTTGAGATTGGTTTTGAGAGTTTTCACACTTTATGAATTCTTTGCCATCCCATAATTACATAAATTAAAGATTCAATTCTATTTTTGCATGCAAGTTTGAGTCTGTACGTGCACCTGATCTTCCACTAATAAGTATGCTGAAAAATTGCCTTCTGCAGCTATTGCTTAATAGTTGTTCCTTGTTGTTTCATTTTATCAGCATGATAACCTTTATGCTGCGATAATTTGTAGCACCTTATTAGACCAGTGAACTTTGAGTAAGAATTTAATTAAACTTCCTGTTATTTTCTTTTAAGGAGCCTCGAATGACTATATGATTGCATCAGCACCGTGCAAGTTTGCATTCATTAAATTAACTGTGCCACGTTGACAGATGAGCACAAGCATGATGCAGTCGCATCTTTTCTGCTCTTTTCAGGCTCGAGGTTGAGCCTGTTCTCTCGAGCGACACAGCGCTTCTCCATCTCCTCGTCGAGGATACCCGATCTCCGCTCCCCGCTCACAGGTAAGTCATGTCAATCTTAAGCACGTAGTGGGCCCATGACTGTGGTTTTCATTCTGTTTTTCTGAGTACGTAAGAAAAAAAAGCTCAAGTAGAATTTATTTTTGAAACTGTCAAAGTGATCCCCAAGTGTTTTACTGCAGTTAGGGGTGTCCTTGGAATGCTGTTTCCAGGTGGCACAGGCATGGCGTCTTTCACATTCTTTTTATCACTTGTCAGCCGTTTATCATCTCTGTAACTCTCATTGGCTTTCTGCGACCACGGAAATGTGTGTTTGGCATAAAAATTTTGCAGGAGTTTGAATTTTTTTTTTGTGCCCACAGTCATCCATCAGGGTTACTGAAATGCAAAAAGACGCATAACGTCAAGGAAGAAAGTTTAAGGAATTTTTTTTGTGTGTGTTAATCTTGTCCCGTGTTTTTTGAGGAGCATGTGAGGAGATGTGCGTGCACATGGTTGCTACAGTTATATATGTGGCTGATGTTCTGATAATAAAGTTAGCTCCCAGTGACGCTCTTTCTGTTCTGTCCTTAATTTGCTTCTTTGATACTTTTTGTATTTCAGTAAACATGTGCCAACTACCCTTAATACACTAAATAGATTTATAATGAAATAGTTCCTGTACCACCTCCTGAACTTACTTCAAATTTGTCTCTGGTCGTCGTTGAACTCTTTGGGAGATCGTCTTCACTGTGTTGAAGGCGAGCTGTGATTGCGCCTCTAAAACGCTCTCGCTGGGGCGTGGGGGAGGTGCTCTGTGGTCGAACAAGGACTGGCGGAGTTTCGGAATTGGCGCTACGTCGGAAAGCAACGTGCGAGGCCACCGTCGCAATGTTTTGGCGCTGCGAGCGTATCTGCTATTGCGTGATATCGCATTAAGTCGCGGCACTACCTCCACGAATTGCGGCACGATCTAGTGCCCTTCGAAGATGTGGCTGAGGAGCTCTGCAGATTGTCGCGTCATCTGTAGGCAGTCAGACACAGTACTCGAGTGATACTCAACGTCTTTCATGCGCTCATTCGCTAACTGTGTGTACGTGGAGGTTCGCCCGGGTCTGCGAGCCTCCGCGGTGTTAGTTGGCGCGGGTAATGCGATTCCTGTGGCAAGTTTCGCAACCTTTGCGGCCGGAAAGCTGCGGAGCGGTGCGTTTTCGGCGGAAAGAGAAAACGGTCGCGATGGCGCGAGAAAAAATAAGCGTTGGAAGGAGAGTGCGTGGGTCTCCCTGGTAAAGCGAAGCCGGTCTCCTTCGTTCTCTCTCGCGTGTCTGGGCACACCAGCGCCGCCGCCACCGACGCCGTGCCTGCTGCAGCGTTGTTGCCGCTGCTCCCTGCTCGCCGCCACCGCCGACGTTCGTTTATCCGCCGCTGCGTCCATCCCGGAGTGGGCAACGTCGTCTGTGGTGGTGGTGCGGTGGTGGTCTTGGTCGGTGCCGAGTGATCTGGTGCGTGTTGTCCCCGCTTCCGTGTGATCGTGCCACAGCGGTGATCACGTTTTGCCCGTTCGCCGGAATCGCGCTTCTGCCGAAGTGAGCCGACCCTCCTCGGCATTCCGCCGTCTGCCGGCGGCGTCCTCGGACGAGAGCTCCGCGACACCGCAACCGACGCCGAAGCCATGCAGAAACACGAGCAGCGGCTACACGGACCGAGAGACGAGGAGGTTGGACGACGAGTGTGAGGCGTCGCTCTCGCTAGCGGCCCGATTTTGAACTATCCCGGCGCCGCGGCGTTTCTGTGATCGGGAGCCGCCGCTCGTATCTTTCAACCCGGTTGCCTGCTGCTTGAACGGTGAACGCTGCAGTGACATAGGTCGTAGCTCACCAAGCGCCCTTTCTCGTTTATATCTCATCCCATCGGGTTTCGTGTGCAACCCGGCTACCCGCGTTGGGATCGCCGAAATTGTGTGAATACGGCGAGAACGAAAGCCGAGGCGCTGTTTTCTTTCCGTACTGCTTCGGATACGATGAGCGCCGTCATCGCTCCGATTTCCGGGCTGTGACGACCGATATGGAAGAAGCGCTGGCCGCCTCGTTTCCACGGTTCTAGTGTAACCAGGGTTTGTTTATCATCCGTCTGAAACCGGCGGTGCCGTGTTTCGACCCTCGGTTTTGGAAACATCTGCGTTTACCAGCTGGTCATCAACTTAGACTACTACTACCACCAACAACTACTGCTGCCCCGAGATCGTCGCGGTGCTTGTGTAAGCTCCACCGCCGTGTTGTGGCCATCGGGGAGTACTTTGAGGGTGACCGTTTTCAAACGACGCCCGTCGACTAGTCGCCCTTAACCTCTTCAGACTTATTGAAATTTGTTTTCGTTGTGCGCGCAACCGGCCATGGATATCAAGCTACTGCACAAGAGCAACACCTTCAGCAACTTCGGCAGCCACAAGCTCGGCAGCTGGTTTTCCACGTTCAGCATCGCCAGGCGGAAAAACGGATCCACGCTGAAGAATTCCAAAAGCCTGAGTGAGTTTGACCGTCGCTTGTTTCGTTCGCTTTGATTTATTGCAATTATCGATTCGTCTGACGTTTTTCGCGTTCTCGCGTTTGTACGCGGAAGAAACCGAGGTTTCTTGCGTGCGTACCGCATTTTTATTCTTCCAGTTTTTCTTCCAGAACTGAAACGAGCGAACAGTAATGATAGTGTCTCGGGAGTCGAGCGTTCTATCCACGACTCTCTCTTTTGAAGATGCTCTTCTAACATCTGCTGGTGATTTACCGTTTCCTTTCGTTCTACACTGTTGGTTATCAAGTTCCGTCGTACGAAGCGTTCCGTTCACTTCCCGGTCTGGTTTGCTGCAAATGTCAGCGTCTTTACTGTCCTTCTCTTTATTATTATTTCTTTTCTCGCCCGGGCGTCTTGTTCTCGGCGACAGTTGATGACATTTGCTGTTGGAGCTCGCCGTCGAGCTCCCAGTTTTAAATAAAAAAAAATGCCGCCATATCCACGAAGTGAATGATGATGAGTGGGCGAAGCTCCGGAGGTAAACCATGAATCCTCCGTACATTTTGCCCACTCGATTTTATTGCAACGCTCCCCCTAGCGTACGTCGCCGCACTATATCGAACGATGACACGCGCCATATGTGGCATCATTCCTATTTTATAACACCTCGCATCTTTCATAATCAACTACACGTACCGCCGTCTAGTTTATAACATCTTGCATCTTTTGGACGGACGGACGGACGGATGGATGGACGGACGGATGGACGGACGGACGGATGGATATGGCTGTACCCTTTAGATCGGGCGGTGGCTAGCGTAATACTTAGAACTGAACGAGAGGTGGCTACATACAGGGGACGCACAGCCCACGACTTAAGGAGCTTCGCTCCTAAAAAAATCACAGCATATCCACAAAGTGAATGATGATCAGTCGTGCGAAGCTCCGAAGTGTTTTATCGGTAAACCGTGAATCATCCGCTGGCCGCACCGGTCCGTCTGTCTGTTCATCTAGTGAACAGTCCAAGCACCGTCATCTCGCATCGTTATCTAATATTCGTTATATACAAGTACCGCCATCCAGCGGACATTCGAAGGACTAAAACGAGACGTGGCTACTACGTACAAGAGACGCACGACGCACGCCTTAAGGAGCTTCGCCCTTAATAAATGTTTTTGTTCGATTTGCACCCCCTCGCCCCCCCCCCCCCCGAGTCGCATTCAGAGAACAGACATTACGCGGTTCACTAAGAAAACTAAATAAAATACAAAGACAACCTAACGACCCTGCCATATATCGCGCGCCAGTCGTGCTCTTAGCCAGGCAGAGAGAAGATACGGCCTCCCAGTCCTGCTTTGTGTGTGTATATATATATATATATATATATATATATATATATATATATATATATATATATATATATATATATATATATATATATATGAGACCTAACAGACAATTAATGCCAATGAATGTATAGGGGAAGTATTTAGAACCAATGTAATGTAAATAAGTAAGAAAAGTGGGTGAAAAAATAACTTGCCGTGAACAGGAATCGAACCTGTGACCTTCGAATAACGCGTTCGATGCTCTACCACTGAGGTATCACGGCGGCTATCACCCCACAGCCACTTTATTGGGTTTATATGTGAATTTAAACGTGGGAGTGTCAGTCAGCGCCACTTGTAGCCATGGCGGCGAGTGTGGCACACTCTTTTATGAGCCTGTATGGCGTCACGTAGCACGTGAACATATATATATATATATATATATATATATATATATATATATATATATATATATATATATATATATATATATATATATATATATATGTATATATATTCTAGCCTCCTCTTTCAGGACAAAGCGAAAGCCTGTATTCTATGGAGTGTGGCCTCGTGAGGTGGAGTTCCTCGTTCGCTAATCTAGAATAATCTGGAAACCCTGATAGGCTGTCTCCGCGCGCATGTCTGGACGGCGACGTTCGTTGCGTCAGCAGCGTCTGTGATTCACTTCGCGTTATCGGCGCGTGTGGCTTCGAAGATTGGCGTCAGCGTACCATCGGTGATGCTGGTGCTTAAAAAAAAAAAAAAAATTGACGAAAACTGAAATAACACTCCTGAAGGCGTAGCCATAAATAATAAAAAAAAAACTCCCTTGCACGACATTCCAGCGTAATCTGGCAGAAACGGATGCCTTCTGAGAGCAAATTTTTATTTCTCGAGTTTTTTTTTTTTTTTTCTGGAGGCGTCGTGGACTGTTGAGCTTACCCGACGTGTTATGGGACGTTTCTGGCCTGCTGCGGGCTTGTTTTCGCATTCCTTACGTAAGCACGGCCCTGCCAGTCTAGCTCTGCGTCCCTTTTTGTTTGTTTCTTTTGTGTTCCGTTGTAGAAACTATGTCACATGAAAGTCTTCCTTGATGTAGGAGTCCAATTTCGTAGCCGGTTTGTGTTGTGAAAAGTTTTGATTTCGCAAGACCTGTGTATCGTCTTGACTATTCTAGAAGCAAGAGTAAGTTGTAGAAACTTCTTTCCTGATAGAAGAAGGGGGGGGGGGGAGTCAGGGCTGGAGGATTGTTGTAGAGAATACACTTCTAAAATCGAGAAAAAAAAAAAAAAGAAGTATCGCTCACTGACGCTCCTAACAGAACTCAGCGCGACATCATATTTGCTTTTACCTTATGTCAATGTTTTTACGCCGCCCTTCTGGTATCGTGCATGGAAAAACCAAACAAATAAATAAATCTGCCGGTGCGTGCGCGCGTGAGGGAAAAAAAAAGAGGGGGACGGAGGTTGCTCCAGCTGTACACTCTGGGTGTGTTTGTTTATGCGCGCACGGTTGTGGAGTGGCATATCGATGAGAGAGGTGGGCGCTGCTGCCGTCTTTGAGAGCGCTGTGCAGCTCATGCGGTTCACGGCAGCGGCGTGCCTCGGTTCGGTTTATAAGAGGGTCGCGTCTTCGCCCACTGCGCGCCATCCGTTCACCTCAAAGACGCCGTGCAGCGTCTCTCTGGGCGTGTAGTGACTGTCCCTCCGCGCCTGGCGAGCTAGCTAGTGCGAAGCCGATCGATAGGCGGGCGATCCGCTGGCATCATAGCGTCGTCGCTCGCACCTCGCGGCGCGTTGCGGGGCGGCGGCCGTGAAACGACCGAAGCTCGGGAGAACGGCGACTCCGCTCGCTTCACAGGTGGACGCGCGGCGGGAAGCGGCGTCGGCAAAGTTGACCGTTTCGACTAGTCCCCCGTTCCGCTACGTTGCCGGTAAACCGCCAGGCAGCGCACAAAACACTATACACTCATCGAGAGGACGCAAACACTAGCACTTGCGTTCGTGATGATCGTTTCTGTTTGGCGTCTCAAAACCACGGTATGATCACGAGGGACGGTGTAAGTGGAGGTTTCCGGAAATTTCCACCAGCTGCGGTTACTTAACGTGCACCGAAATCGAAGGTGCACGGGCGTCGAGCACTTTCGCCTCCACCGAGAATGCTGCGGCTACCGTGGCCGGGATTCGATGCCGCGACCTTTCGGTTAGCAGTCGAGCGCCATGACCCTCTAGACCACCACCGCGGCGGGTCAGCAGCGCTTGTGTTCGCACCGTCCTTGTGTGTGCGTGTGTAGATGCGTCATCTGTGCGCTGCTCCATCGGTGCGTGTCGTGTCTCGGCAACTGGGACGTCCAAGACGGCATGCGCGTCAACGACTCTGCCGCGCGGCACCGCAGTTGGATGCTGGTATTTATAACTAGCCCGTCACTATGTAAGACGAACTGCGTTATCGAGGTACCCGTCAAGCGCGAAATAGAAAAGATCACACCGTCAAAAGACGCCACATTAACGCGACGGGATTTCACTCGACCGCGCGCTTTTTCTCTCTTGGTGGAGTGGTTCTTAAAAAAGAGAAAGGAAGAGAAGTTTTTTCTCTCTTCGTTGCGTGTGGCGTCCGCTTTTCAGCTCGTAATGACGGTGTCGTATGCGTGTGCGCGGGATCGCGATTAGTGCCACCTGGCGTCGTTTCTTTTCCCCTTTTAATGATGCGCTTTGTCGTCGCCCGTCCAACTCTCTCTCTCATTCTCGCTTGCTCCGGTCAGCGTTTGGCAGCTTGGGCTAGTTGGTATGGCATGGCGGTAGTTATAGCGCGAGAACAAAACGACGACACAGAGACAAGAAGGACACGAAGGCTCATGTCCTTCGTGTCCTTCTCTTCTCTGTGTCGTTGCTTTGTTCTCGCGCTATGGCTTTCGTCCTCCACTCCGGTCAGCGTTCGTAGTCGCGCGTAGTCGTAACCCGCGCAAAAACAAAATAAATATACAGGGACACTTTCGCGCCGTTCCAGTGACGAAGTCGTACCAGCAGGCTCAATCCCAAACCCTTTCCACAGTATATATACACCCTTCGAAAGCGCATACGATTTTTTGTCAACTTTACGCCAAGAAGTGTGGCAGTTTGGGATCGTTGGTATAACAGGACGATAGTTGTAGCGCGACAATAGAACGACGACAGAGACAAGGAGACGAACGGTCGTCTCCTTATTGTCTTTTTGTCGTCGTTCTGTTCTCGCGCTATGACTATCTTCACGCCAAAGTTCCACACTTTCTAGAGGTCGTGCAGTTGGCGGAGCGGAAATGAAATGCAAGAAAGAAGAAATGCTTCTTGAAGGAGCAGCAGGTGTTTTTAATGACGTTCTCCGGTCTCGCCGCCGCCTTCTCGCCCACCACGGGAGGATAGCTGCTTTCCTTTCGCGTCCGCGGAATACGAAATGACGCAAAGGTGCGAGTATGCTTACGCGAACGGTTGTGCTGCGTAAGTTTGTGACGTGCATTCAGAGGCAAAAAAGAAAAAAAAGAAAAAATGGAGATAGGCTTTCGTAGAACGCGGCAGGGATGTTTTCGGGCGTGCTTTTGCAGCGTTGGAGAACACCCTTCTCTCCACAATTGCCTTCCCCTCACTCTGTACGATGTTCACTGCGTTTCTGACTTCCACAATGTCAGGCACTGCGCCGTGCTCCAGACCGGGCGG